TGATGCTTTTCCTAATGCTTCACTTAATATGGAAGAGAAGCGGTTCATGGACCCCGAGAAGTATGATAAATTGTTGAAGGAAACTGAGCGAGAATTGTACCCTAGTTGTGAAGATTTTTCCGTTCTAACATCCATTGTAGAGCTGATGCACAAAACAATGTAATATGACCAATCAGAACTACGATATGATGATGGAAATTTTTAAACGTATGCTTCAACAAAAAATGTAATATGACAAGATCTATACATGCACGAACAATTATATATTTTTCTACCATTAGTTCGAGAAGTTAGACAATTGTCATAAGTGCAATAACCCTTGATATTGAAAGAACAAGATTCCAAATAAGTAGTTGCGTTACTTTCCTTTACACCAAGATTACAGAAATTGTACACGTGACCCATACTGCACGTGATATGAGGTGGCATAAAAATGCACGGGTTCACTTTGAGAGTTTTAGTAATGTGGACAATTTATGATTTCCCTACTTATGGGACGTTGTCAGGTTGGAGCCCTAAAGGGTATACGACAATGCCCAACATGTGGCGAGGACACATCATCCTTTTGGCACATTGAAAATGTATGCTACTTGGGTCACCGAAGATGGCTCCTCTAAAATCACGAGTGGCATGACAAGCCTAAAATATATGATGGGATAACAAAGTATCGAACTAGACCAAGAGAATTATCTGGAGATGAAATGTTGGCCAAGTCGAATATGCTGCAATTTGAGGAAGACTCAAGACTAGTGGAACATCTTAATTGGACCAAAACGAGTACATTCTTTGACTTGGAATATTGGTCGAATTTGAAAACCAGACATATTGGGATCCCATGCATATTGAGAAAAATGTATGCAACAATGTGTTGGGTACGACTCTAAATATTAAGGAAAAATCAAATGACACAATGAAGACTCGTATTGGCATGCAATAAATGGGGATAAGGCCCAACATGTGGCCTATATTGGAAAATGGTAAATACAAAACGTCAATTTTACTTACAAATCGGTTGCCAGGAAGGAATTCTTCAAGTAGCTACAAGGTGTGAAACTTCCAAACGAGTGCACTAGCAGTATAGCATGACATGTTAAAATGGACACTGAAACACTGTTGGGTTTGAAAAGTCATGATTGTCATGTCTTACTCCAACGGCTACTTCCAATTGGTATTCCGCCATACTTGAATAGCGAGGTTGTTAAGACGATAACATATTTGTGTTAATTCTTTTAGCAAATATGTTGTACAACTTTGCGCAAGTTTGATGTAGCTAATATGGACGAAGAAATTATGTACATCCTATGTTGACTAGAGCAAATATATCAACCAGCATTTTTCAAGAATATGGTTCACGTAATGATACATTTGTCAAATGAGGCCAAGCTTGCTGGCCCGGTGCATAATCGTTAATTGAGAGGCAATCTTGTCAATACGTTAATTTGTTAATATTATTTATCAAGTGCTTCAAATTGTAATTTTCACACTACTTTATAATTTTTTAGACTGCTGGGTGGTTACAAGCGGTTCATTTACACCAGGGCACAACCTGAATGATCCATTGTAGAGGCGGTCAATGTACAAGAATCCTTCACTTTTTGATCGAGGTACTTGCAAAATGTTGAAACTTCGTACAACAAGCGTTCGGGCATTTTTTATAGGGGTGAGCGGATGGAAAAGTTAACTATCTTTGCACAACTTGCATGCCCATTCGGCAAATGACCTTCATTTGAGCTTGTCACTGAATCCGACTTAGAGGTGGCTCACTGGTTCATATTAAACAATTGCGATGAAGTCGAGCCATTCATTGAACGACAAGTATTTATGAAGACCCGTTGTCCATCAACTTGCTTGAAATGCACAGACAGTTATTTCCAAATTGGTTTGAAGAACCTGCAAAGTTTTCATTTTGCTTAAATTGAAATTGTTTGTATTGTGGAAAAAAAAATTATGTATTAAGGGTGTTTGTACTATACTAGATGAGACAGTTAAAAGAAGTCAAATCATCTATGTTTGACGAAGAATTATTCTAGCTAGCATGTTAGTGCCGAAACATAAGCTGGTTGTCACGTGAACGGAATTAAATTTTTTACAGCAGCACGAGACAATAAATTGTGCACTCAAAACATTGGCATTTATGTCCCAAAGGTAAATGAGAAAACTTTGTTTTTCAGTAAACTATTGAGTGTGGTTCAATTGTTATACACAAACCGTAAGAAAGTCATATTGCTCAAGTGTCATTGGTATTATACGAACCCTAACAAACCAAATAGTGTCATTGAAGATGTTTTTGTTATCCGTTAACACAACACCCGGTGGTTTGAAAGTGATCCCTACATTCTCGCCAATACGGCGAAACTAGTACTCTACTTGGATGATCCAAAGCTTAAGGGTGGTTAGAAAGCAGTCCAATTTTTATTAAATATAAACATTTGGAACTGGCAAGTTCAGGATGACGATTTTGAAGATGTTCACGACGAGGGTTCTTTTTGAATCACCTGAAATCGTTCTCAAGTATAGAGCAACCACATTGTTGAACAACCATTCCAGCTAGAAGGTGTCCTCGAATTTGAAACAAATGCATTATCTATTTACCTTGGACGCCCACCATCAACTCAGCGAAATTCCTTGGTACAAGAAAGCAGCGATGATTCAAGCATTAAAAGCGACATTGAGAGGGACACGATGGAAGCACATAGGTAGACCAACAGTGATTGAGAGTTTATCAATGTACAATTGCTGTAATAAACTTAATGTAACTGTTTTTAAAAAAAAATTCATATGTTTACGCGACGGACGTGATTTCGTATGTTAATCAAAGATTACCCGACGGAATATTCATCGAAAGAATCCCATTAGTGTTAGGGTTTAGGGTTTAGGGTTTAGGGTATTTGTTGAGCATGCATTTGTAGTCTTTTCGCGATGGAGATTCCATCGTATAAGTATACAGCCTTATTTAACATATCCAAATCCATGTACGATTTTTGGAATCCATAAAATTCATTTTGACAATCCAACCATCAATATTATTCATATAAACTATGACATCATATACGCCAAAAATTAAACAAAAATGATTTCGACATTAGGTAACGTGACGAAATTATTCAACAGTTACAAACTTAAATGTAATTTTCAATGGTCATTTTGTCTCCGAACTTTCCCATTTTTTACAAAAACAATACCCAACCCCAAAATAATACAATGAACGGACCCAATCATGAAATAAAAATACTTACAATATTGATTAGAACAAAATGATACATTACACCTAATAGTGTTAATGATGAAAACACCAAGTGTTGGTTAAATCAATTGCGTTGTGGGGAGTCAAACTCCACAAACATTTTTTCGACCGATCCAACCTTCAAACTTGTTTGAACATAGCACAAGTTCGTATACATTGAAAATTATGACAAATAATCTTGCATGGACTAGGGATCAATTCAAAATGTTGGACGGTTACATACTTAGCATCCCGATCAAACGACTACATTACTCTTGATTTCGGTTATTTTTTCCAAAATATACTATTTGCGGGTTGAAACACACGTTCAACCACCTGATCTTAGAAATCGATTAACGGTAACCATAATAGATTTAAAAAAAAAATTGGGTTTACTGACGGAATAGAAATTCGTAGGGTGAACTTACTTCTTCCGTCGTCTAACGCTACTTTTTTTGTTGGTCAAACATTCAAAATTCCCCCATTGATTTCCCAAAAATTCAAACGTCCCTCCAAAATTTGGTTTTACCCGACGGCTGTTGATGTGTTCCGTCGGCCAAGATTTTTTCACACGTTTTTTACTAGTCAAAACGTTTTTTTTTTTTTTTTGTTTTTTTGGTCGAACCTAGTCAAAACGTTTCAATTCGATAATTTTAATGCTTTTATTTAACCAACGGAAGTGTCCGCTTCCGTCGGGTAAACATCACAAGCAGACACATGTAAAAAATATATGGTTTTAGCGGACGAAACTTACGTCGATTCAATCCTGCTTCTCCTTTATTAGACCGAGGGCCCTCTATTTTTGCAATTCCTTGGAAATTTCAGTCTCACTCTCTCCAAAATCATCTTTCTCTTCCCAAATCTCTTCATCTCTCAATGGCCCAAAAAGGTACATGACATTTATTTTCAATAATTTTAGAGTTGTTATACTTTGGAATTGCATTGTTCGAACTTATTTTATATTCTCAATTTAATATACATTGTAAATTTGTTACTACGTTTTCTGATAATTTTGTTTTACTACTTGAGAGATTTTGATGTAATGGGTGTGGGTGGGTGTGAGATGGGTAGGTACAGACGAGGAAGAGAGGAGGATAGGTGTGGGGAGGGGTACAGCTGGGAGGGGATGGGTGGGGAGGTAGAAGGGGGAGGGAATGGATGGGGAGGCAGAAAGGGAAGGGGAGGGGGCAGGTTTTGTCACACCTTGGACCCGGGTAGAAAATAAAAACTCGAACTCGAACTCGAATCTGAAACGTGAGTTAAAAACTAAATAATTAAAAGGAAATTGAAACAGGTTGGAAAATAAATTCCTCTTATAAAAATAACTCATGATTCTTAAACAAATCAAGAATTCTTTACAACCTACAATAAATAGATGAATAAACTTTCTATTCTCCAATCTAATCCGATCTCATCTAGCCTACTGTCTTGAATGTAGTTTTGCTCACCCTATACATTTTAAACCTTGCAGGTTCAATACAAGATTAAAGAAGGGTGCTAGACGAGCTAAGGTTGTGTTAGAGGAGAGATTTAAGGATTTTGGAGTATATTTTTATAAGATAAGTTTATCTTTTTGTTTTTCGTTTTTACTTTTACTTTTACTCGCGCGCCGGGCGTGAGGTCATGTTTTTCCACCAACCCCGGGTCTAGGGCGTGACAGGTTTAGGGAGGAGTACAATTGGGAGGGGTGGGTGGGGACGCAAACGGGGAAGAGGAGAGGGATGGGTTTGGGGAGGGGTGGGTTGGGAAGGGGGAAGGGGAAGGGTTTTGGGAGGGGGCGGTGGGGAGGGGGAAGGTGACGGGTATGGGTACGGGGAAGGGAACCTTAAATTATTCTTCAGGATTAACGAAAAATTGTTGTTATAATCTTATGTTTTTGTTTTATTATAATTTGTTGTGTATATTATAAATTTTTCTAGACATAGGAGGTATATTTAGAAAAGTACAAATTTTTTTTATTTTTTAAAATAGATGCCTAGGCACAACACTCGCTCTAATCAACGAGTAAGTGTTGAATATGACGAACGATGTGGGTGTCCGGCATCCCCTTGAGTTCAGGCATTGTTGAATCACTCGATAGGTGTACTCATTTGTACTAAGTGCCCTATGACTACCCACAAATGGAAGTACGTCACCCACAATACAACACCCGACCTAATGGAAGAACTCTCGGTCAGTGTTTTATTTTTTAGAAAACTTCATTTTAATCCTTGGCAAAGATGACTTTTTGATTAAAACCATGAGTAAGATCAAAATCTAATTTTAGTCCCTTGATACATTAATAACCTCATTTATTAATTATATTTTTATTTTTTAATTATTTATCTTTTTCTTTCTAATTTTTAATGTATTAATTTTATTTCATTATAATTTTTATTTTCATTTCATTCATCGTAATATATTTTGTTGTGAACCTTTAGATAAACTAATTTTTGTCATACAATATATTTTGATGTACTTTATCTTCTTCATTTAGGTATATTAAATTCATTATAATACATTCTGGTGCATACATTTAGGTACACACATTTTGGTACATACATTTCGATACAAACATTTAGGTACATTAATTCAATATAATACATTTTCGGTACTAACATTTCAGTGCATACATTTCGGTACATACATTTAGGTACATTCATTTAATATTATTACATTTCGGTGCATATATTTAGGTACATACATTTCAGTACTAACATTTAAATATATTAGTTTAATATAATATATTTCGGTACTAACATTTAGGTACATTAATTGAGTCTTTCAAGTTTGAAGAATGTTAAATAAAATTAATAAATTAAAAAACTCTTTTTTGGTCAAAAAATAAATTAAAATTTGTGTATTAATAAATTTAAATATTTAATGGGAGACATTAAATAAAATGCACACTAATTATTTTCAATTAAGGACACATTAGGGACTAAAATCAATATTTAATCTAACACCATGCTTTTTTTAAATTTTAATTTTCTTGAGGGATTAAAGTTCAAAAACCCCTTTATTTTTTCATATAATATTTTTATTAATTTTAATTATTATGTATATAATTACTAATTTATTATTTTCTTATAACTAACATTTGTTTTTTTGTCTATTTCAGACCGAGTTTAAAATTAACATGAGTATACCGCTTACCTTTGACTATGTTAATTGGCTATGGACAATAAAATTTAAAGAGTGGTTGTTCGAGCTACACACCTACTATTTTGAATACGGATGTCATGAAGAAGCTCTAAATCATCTGCCTAATGAACTTCAGATTTATAAGTGTAGTTTTTTTATTACTTTTATGAAAATTTTTTGAGGATTATTACTTCAATTAAATAAATGTCATTGGTATTTTAATATTAATATAATTTTTTTTTCAAATTAATATAATAATGTCTCATTAAATGGAGATTAAAAAAATAAACAAATTAATTAATCCAACATTAATATATTAATGTTGGATTAATTAATTTGTTTATTTTTTAAAATATTTTAATAAAATATTGCCCTACGAACCGTTCCATTGGCTATAATTGTGCTAAATCGACGAAAATGGAAGCAACGTATTAAATGTTAATTTTTTATATCCAACGAGAGTGGCCGCCGGGGACTAACTTAACCGATGAACATGTTGTCGGCCAATTCTTACATAATTTATTGAAATTTAAGATCAGTGAAATTGGCATTAGGAGAAATATCTTGTATAAAAAAAAATATAATCGGCTGGATTGACTAGTCAAGTCCGCTAGTCAATTAAAATATATTTATTAGTTAATAAATCAAAGATTTAATAACCAATTTCAAATACCAAAAATTATCCTAGTCAGCAAGGCTTCAGTTCGTTCCAAGTTATTAATGTGTCAAGTGAGTATGATTGTGAGCACATACTAATTAAATATTCAAGTGATACATGTCGCATGTATACGTATGTGAGATATTTGACACAATATATATTACTTTGGGCACAAGATATTTTTGGCCGGAAAAACCCACCTTTTGGTTAAAAAAACTGGGGACTCTCCATTGAGTCCAATCAACTAGTATAAACAAGATTCTTACAAAGTACCACACATAGCTCAATTCTTAGACCTAGTCTACGGAGTAGCTTTACCTTTATACAACCTTGCCTTACACGAGATAGATTCATTCGGTCTTCACGAAGTGGTAGCTTCTCCTGAGCTATTCACCTTGTGGCACCGAAAATGTGTTGTTTCCAATCTTCACAAGATGACAGCTCCTCTTGAACTTTTTTCTTGTGGCACCTAGACCAACACACAAACTATGCATATGATGATATGACAATGAGGCCATCTCCAACCAAAAGGGAGCCGAAGGGCCATGTTTAGCCCTATAGCCCTGCAAGATTTTTTTTTTTTTTAATGAACAGTGTCAGACCATATTTTATACCATTTTGAACCGAGGAGGCCAAAGGGTTATAGGCCAAAATATAGCCTTTTGACAAAAAAAACTCATCTCCAACCGAATGGGACTATTTTTTAATATGTTCTATAATGAAAAGACCTTTGAACAATAACCAACCAATAATAAAAAAAGGTTGTACCCAGGGGTGGATGCATTAAGGGGCAAGGAGGGTCAGCTGACCCTCCGAACTCTTGTGAATCTCTATAGATAACTTGGGTGCTTCCCTTTTGAAGGTTGGAATTACCTTTCACACATTCGACAAAATTGGCAATTTATCGGCCAAAACATAATCCAAAGTCTAAAATTGGAAAAAAAAAAATTTCTTGTATTTCACTGAGATCACCGTCAGTTACTGGGTTGCAGTCTTGCAGAGTATGAGGCCTTGTGCGATTCGAAAAGGACAACCTGAAACCCTATTTTTCTATTTTGGGAAGGACGTCATCTTGTATTATTTTGATACGTGGCATAATCTGTTGAGTCTAGAATCCTATCAGCACATTGAATGCAAGGCCTAATCGAATAAATAGTCCCTGTAGTGACAAGATAATCGGAAGATAGCCCTTATTTAAACCCTCGTGGTGCTAGTCCGTTAGCAAATTTAGTCCAAAAGTAATTTTTCCGATAAATGTTTGTTAATTAAAGGGTAAACATGTAATTTAACTTGTGCTCCTTTTTCTTTCTCGCCTCTCTAGTCTCTCTGTTACATACACTCTGCGGGATCAAACATACATTGTTTCTTCCACATTTACATTTCTTCAAGCACCACCCAAGAGAGAGAGACCTTACTGAAGAAACAGTCTCCAATCCGTCACTTCCCCTAATACTTTTCGAGTGGCATCTGCTATGAGTACCTAAAGCTCTCAACATTTTGAACCCTTTACCACAAACTTCGAGTGCCCTGAAATTTTCCAGGACTTTTTCAGGTTGACTCGTAATCCATAACCAGCGTAATCATCGTTTTCAACCTCAGAATGTGCTCTGCACATTTTGATATTTTTCTCAGTTTTAGCCGATTTATTTGCTCCATGGCACCTCATGTGACCTCCCCAGACTCTGCCGCTCAAGAAGCCCTTTTTGCAAAGCTTGCACACATGCTCCATCGTCCTAACCAGAAAAGCAAACGAACCCAAATCCCAAAACCAAGGACTCCAATTTTCCGAGAAAGTTTGAATCTTTCCACCACATTCCAGAAAAACAAATATCAGAAAAAAGCTCAAGAAACAGAGGATGCTGAAAACCTAGATCAGAGATGAAGCTTTCTTGCTTCTTTCAAAAGTGATTGGAGAAGAATCACTTATTCTGGGTTTTGTAGAATTTGTGAGCAAGAACAAGATCTGGGTCCCTAATCAAAACCTCTCTCTCCTGGGGAAGAAACGATTCAAATTTCAAGGTTTTGGTTTGAGCAGTAATGTCTCTCTCTCTCTCTTGGGTGGTGCTTGAAGAAATGTAAATGTTTGATCCCGCATGTAACAGAGAAACTAGAGAGGTGAGGAAGAAGAAGGTGCACAAGTTAAAGTACATGTTTACCCTTTAATCAACAGACATTTAACGGAAAGATTATTTTTGGACTAAATTTGCTAACAAACTAGCACCACAAGGGTTTAAATCCTAAGTTTTTTACTACGAGGGCTATCTTCCGATTACCTTGTCACCACAGGGACCATTTATCCTATTAGGCCTTGAATGCAATTACTCTTTCTTTTTTTCCTTTTTTATGTAGAAAGAATAATAATATTCATCCTTTTTGTAATTATATTTCAACAAATAATATACACTATGTTTTTTTAGTTGCTTGACTTTATGTTTTGTAGCTCCATTTCAATTTGTGTTGATAAATTGATTAAAGTTTTTATCTGAATGAGTTGAGTTTTGTGTGAGGAGTTGGTTTGTATGAATTTATAATCATGCGTATTTGCTAATTACATTGGTTTTGGTTATACTTGTTGCTACTGCTTCAGCCTTCAATGGAGAAAGCATTTTTCGCTATGAATATTTTGAAAGTCCATTGCGATATCGAATGGAAGATCAGTGGTTGAATCATAATGGTTTATATCGAGAGCAATGTTTTTTCTTCCATTGATAATGAAGGATAATTATAACTTGTATTGTTATTTGTTGCATAAATTACGAATGATGGAAACATAGTTTAATTTTAAGGTTATATGTCTAAGAAATATTTGTGAAGTTTTACATGTGACCCTCCAAATATTTTTTTTCTTGATCCGCCACTGATTGTACCAAAATCAATGTAACTAAATAGTTTAATGTTAGGTTTATCAAATAAATTAAACTTAATTACGTATATATGCAACATTCCACTGGACCAACCCCAACGATATTTTGGCTCTTGCATGCGTCCTGGTTGCATTATTAATTTTTTTTTTTTAAGCCCAACTTAAGGTTTAATTGTTAGTCCGTCGACATGCATGGTATAATTCTTTTTGCAAAAAGTACATAAGATAATATACTAAAAAAAGTACATAATATAAAAAAATAATAATAAATATATATATATATGATATTTTAATAGGCAATACTGGGGATGGGATTACTTGCAAAATATGCAACTAAAATGTTTATTTTGTGTACGAAAAGAAGAGATAATTAATTAATTAACTCTTTGCTAAATCTGCTTTAATTAATTAAGTTGATGCATCACTTAAGAAGAGGTTCTGCTGCAATGTGATTAAGCATGGAACCTGTCTGGTTTATGGGCCGCTGCATCAGGTTGGCTGGCTGGTTCATTTAAGCCAGACTGCTGGCCTGGTGTCTAATTTTTGGTCGGATGGCGCCTACAAATCTTTTGGCATAACCCTCGGTTGGAGAAGATGTTCATGTCAAAATAGACTATATTTTAGCCTATGTCCTTTTGGCCTTGTCAATTGGAGATGGCCTGATATGCAGATCTAGATTCAAATGTTCAGTCAGTTTCTCCAGTCAAACTGTTGAAGGAAGAAACTAGCAAGAATACAAAAATGGGTCAGTTTAAGGATTTTAAACTTAAATAACTTGACCACAAATTTAATGCAAAACAACAAAGACAATGCAACCCTATTCTTCAATGATTGGGTGTTTAATGCATGAAAAAATGGTTTTGCAACTAGGGTTTCATAAAAGAAGAACAAAGAGGAAGGTGAAACCCCAGAAAAAATTAAAATTAAAATTAAAATTAACCCAACTAGGGATCTTAACGCCATAAGCTTTGGTTCGTTTTTCAACCCACAAAGGACACTTGTTAGGCTTCAAAACGATTTGAAAAGATCAAGGGTGAAAAACAAACATTCCGCAAAAAGTTGTTAGTTAGCCCATGTGGGCATGTCTTAAATTGTGTGCACAACTTGCTAGAAATCTGCATGCACGACTGACTAAACAACTATGCTAATCAGAATGTAACATGAATGTAGACATCAAATGCACATGCATGAACAAACCTTTTGAAGTGAGATGTGCCACATCCTTGAACATTTCTTTCTGGCATACAAAGCTCATAAACAGAGAAAGCCTAAGCTAAGATTGAGCATGTGGTACAATTAACAATGTTGACAAGGAAAGTCAAACCTAAAAGTCTAGACTTCACATTTAGGTTTTGCACGACCACCGACCTTTCGTCGATTGAAAAGTGTTTCGTCGGCCAAACGATGATCAACTCAATTTTTCCCTCCTGAATGTCATTATAATATTCGTTGGGCTAAATATTTTTAACCGAAAAAAGCTTATCTTCGTCGGGAAAAATCATTTACGACAGTATTGACACGACAATTCTTCCCGACTGAAGTTCATTGGGTTGCATATTTCGTGACGAGTGTTAGCTTTGGGGAACTTTTCTTGTTCGTCTCTTGAGTTATTTTTTCAAGTAGTGTCTTGAGTCTTGAGGAAGTGCATATTTGTATGTATATGAGA